TCTTGTGGCCTGGAGATAGCTACTGGAATTAGTTGGAATCAAGGGATATCGACATTGCAATCGGCTGACTGGAGGTTACTAGAGTCCTGTAGACACTGTAGACCGCGGTGCTCAAGTGATGCCAGCAGACTGGTTTGCTTGTTGTTGGATACCAGTTCTTCGATGTTCTTCGTTGGAGCACCTCGACTTGTTTCAAGTTATAAACTGTTCTCAAACAATCATCATCCAAGTGAAGCAACAACTCAAGAAATCCTTGGGGCTTCTGCGATTGAACGTGTGGGGAATGAGGGAATGACAGATGGACTTGCTTGTGTGGCTTGGCGAACCGCTCGGCTGACCCTTCCGCTGACGCGAAAGCGAATTGATGCGACATCGCTTTCTGGAGGAAGAAAGGGTTACAGACCAGCAGAGAGAAGGGCACCTTCTGTTCTTTTTGTTTGCCGTTTTCAGGGGTGAATCCTCAATGCTCTCTCTTGACAGAAGCAACACCCCAATTTTTTGTATGCGCAAGCGTTGGTCTCCAACAAGAAGAACCCTGTGTGTCCATGGAAGGTGTAGCCAATGGAGGGTGGAGTGCTGCCCCTGACACCAACACTGGGCCTAATTGACCAGGAGAGCGTACTTCCACTACGAAAAGCACATTCCCACAATCCCACAACCCCAGGAAGACGCATTGCAGAAGATCCTATTATGTTCGAAGCCCGTCACACGTCAAGCGCAAAACATTTGCTGAGGCTTGATACATCACGTGTTGATGACGGCGTGTCGCATCTTCATTCACATGCAGGCAAGGCTGCTGAAGCTTGTCATGCGGCGCTGGTGCGCGCGGGGTTCCGCCATTGAGAGAAGGGCTCCATATGGTTATTGCAGTGGATGTCAGGTTTAACAGTCATAGATGTGTTCCCACCAGTAAATATAGATAGAAGGGGAGCTACTTTAGCACCAAATTGTAGAATCACCCACACGTTTGGAGTTTGCCATACTATCCTGTTTCTCTATCTCTGATGTATCTCTGTCTCTATCTGCACATAATTACATCAAATTACACCAATTGTATAAGAACTTGACAATCTGTGCACGTATTCCATGAATCTTCCACAAACCCTCTCACAGAGCTCTCTCCTTGATCTGCTGGGTCGGCAAGGTCACCAGCTGCTGCTTAGGCATCGACGAGCGAAATCACAGGAGGGCGCGGGGGGGGTGTTGGGCCGCGGGTGTGTTGACCCCTCAACCTCCAAGTACCTTCTAAGAAGGTGCTTGGGGGGAGGTCTAACTGCCGATGAGGTTGGAGCCTTAGTACCTTGGCACAGCCTTGAACCATGAAAACGCCATCAACACGGTATTTGTTTGTTTACTCCCAGTGCCTGCATGACTACAGGGTAAGTTTTATTCTACCCGTTGAAGTTTTGGGGGGATGTGGAGGAACAGATTGGTGTAGGTTGCTTGGGGTTGTGGATCTACATACCAATGGAACAGGGACCCTGAATGTTCTGAGGAGCTGCAGGATTCCGGTTGCAAGGAGTACTTATGAGCATGTATAGATGGCCTCTACTGTTGATGATCTGTTGATGGACCGAATCCTGCCCAAGCCTAGCTGAGGATCCCAATCCCCTGTACCTCAAATGGCACAGGACTGTGTCTAGGAACCCGTTGACAGTACTGTTATTTGTGTGTATGTGTTGCAGGGAGATCACTGGGGGTCAACAATACCTCTATTGCATTTGATGAAGACAATGTGAAATGTTTCAAAGAGGGTGAATGTGGAAGGAAATGAATGATCCAAAACACGTAGCGCCATTCGTTCCCAGTTGTGGGATGAGCCAAAGGGTCTTTTATGTTTCTTTTTTTTGTCTACCCCTTTCGGGCAACGGTCTTGGTCAGACAGATGCAGGATACAGCGCTGGGTGCGCTTGGCACACGTGGAGAGCCCAGATGAAGAGATGGAGAGTCAGACTACCGGGGGCTGAGTTTCCAAGTGCTTAGTATTGTTTCTTAGTCACTAGCTGAAATACATGGTGGATGGACATGTCCGTTCTTGGACGCTTTTCAACATAGTGGAGGTTGTTCGACATGGTCTTTGGGATGGATATTTGTGCCATACGAGTCTCCGAGATCCATAAACCATCCATGACTCAATGATGGAAGACCGTTGCCCATCCACCAGGGGCTTCCAAGCAATGGAAACTCGGGTTTTCACCAACGCGGACGTGCGAAAGGACGAACGAATCCGGCACTTCCAAATAAGCCCACATCTTGCGTACTATAGAGTCTGTAGAGATGTCTAGATGTTAGTCCATGTGAAAAGAAACAGAACACTTATATCCAAAACCTCGATAGTTTGTTTTGGGGACAATCCTTTCCATGTCATGTGGACAAAAAACTCAGCCTTCGGAACGATCGGCGGTCTCCTCGCCGACATCAGGTGTACTTCTTTGGGCATCAGCTTCACACGCTCCAGGCCCGTTCGTTCGATCCTGTGAGGGTTGGCGAAACGTTCAGGGTTGCTCCCCATGTTAAGGGTCTTTACGGAACAACCAGCTGATGTGTTTAAGGACTGTACACTTTTTCACAACAAAACCAGGTCAACCATTGTTTAAATGGTCTTTTGAAGGCTAAGGGTTTGGTTCAAGTCGCCTGGTCAAGGCTCAAGTCGGCTATTGTGCTTCATGTCATAGAACGACTGACGACTGACAACTGTTTGATGGTGACTGGTAGGATGACTGCGGAAGTGCATTGTTTGGGTGCGCCCTACTACCTGTAACAGTCAGTAAGCAATGATCACTATTTGTGAACAAGGCCTTTACATGCCTTTACTAACCATCATCATCGACTGGTACTGGTAATAGGATAGACCCAATGCATTGTCAATGTTCGCGTGGATTGTATTTGTTCTTCCTTGGTTTGCTGTTTGCGGTTGGCTTTGTGGGATTTCTTCCTTTCTGATTGTTTAGAGTTGGGACCGATGCCATATTCCAGAAGCCTGGTGGCAAGCTCCGTATATAGATGGTGAGTCAAGGTCCCTGATGTCCACTAGCAGCTTAGCACTGGCCAGTTGATCGTAGTCTATCGGTTGTGTGGCTCCCTCTCGTGCCTGAGAGAAGCCTGGTTGACAATCAGCGCGTTTTTGATGTGAGACCATCACTATGCCGTTCAGCTCCTGCTCCAACTCCTATGGAGAGGTAGCTGGTAGCGTAGCCTCAGGCTTAAGGCATGTGAACCTCAGTAATTATTGAGATTCTCTTTGACATGAATGTTCAGGTTGACATGCCTTAAGAGAAACACATCCTCAATACTGTACCCGAGAAACTCAATAAAAAGCAAAAGAGAAAACACTCCCAGTGGATCCAGTAAACCAGTGGTTCCAAAGACCGAAAACCATAGACCGAACGAGGGCCCAGACTGGTTCCTACACTCGATAGTCTCAACAGGGATCCATTTAATGAGACAATCCATCGTTGATCCGGGTCTCAACACAAAGAAGACCATTTCACGCATGAGACTCCACCATCTCACGCAGTACACTCTGAGTTTGGCATAGGCCCCGGGAAGAGCATTTTGCTCTACGAACAAGTGGTGAACTCCATGTCATGTCCAGCCGAAGCACGGTTAGGTGGTGTACTCACTCGGCTGAAACATGTGATGTCTTCGTGGGAGCTGTACCCCGTTTCAGCCAAAGCATTCTGAGCCCAACGACCGACGGACCTCCTCGAGCTCAGTGACTCGAGGCCTACATCGTGCTCTTGACGAACCTGACGACCTCGCTGTTGATCGCCTTCTTGGACAAGGCCAAAACAAGTTCACGGAAAAGGGTTTCAGGAATGCTTTGCTGTATGTTTCTGAGAAAAACACAGATGGATCCATATAGGGATCCAGTGGTACCTTCTTAGAAGGTGAGCAGGAAGACACTGTTATGTAGGTGCCACTGTCGGGTCCAGTCGTACCGAATTCTGAGAAGGTAGGACTGGATCCCTTGGGAAAGCAATCCATATATGTCTTTTCACAGACTTCGAAGACATACAGAGCTGGTGGCTTCCGGCGTTCCGGCGGTGTGTTGTAAACCGACGGTTGAGCAGCGCGGCGAAACCCCGCTCAGTCGCCAAGATCTCTGAGACTGGGGACTCGTTTGGGGTGTCCAGACCTCATCTGGAAGGCGGCCGGATGAGACTTACTCAGGCAAGAGCAAGCCTCATGTGTTTCAGGGAGTTGATCAGTTTGTGGATGCAGCTCTCGACCAGCCAGGTAGTAAGTATATGGCAGAACAGTGACACATGGTTTGATTGTTGTTGCTGTTGTTGTTCCAATGCTCTGAAAAGTGGCGTTTCAAACCATGAGCTGCGGCACAGATGCGATGCCCCATCTTACTGTGGCTTTGGCTTCGTTTCGGGGGTTCATGTCTCCCTTTTCTGGAAAGGTTCAGAAAAAGAGGTGCATCCCAAACATGGAATCTGTTCATGTTCAGCGGTCAACCAGGGTTACAGGGTGCCAAGACCCCACAGCCATGTGATCCGGCAGGATCTTCGAATCTTCGCTGCCCCGGAAGAGTCGAAGAAAAGACTTCACTCCAACCAGTGAGAGGATCTCCCGTTGGAGACCTCTAGCACTCCGAAGTCTTGTGTCTCTGCGGTCTTGGCAAGTCAGTCCTTCGGAGGTGCAACATCCAATCCGAAATCCATTCCCCAAACGTCAGACTGGCTCAGATTTGCATCCCCTGGAAACCGATTTACTCTTCCCAATGCAAGAACGCCTCAGCGCCCGAAAACCTCCAGCTTTTCCGCGACTGAAAGCGGCGCAACGCCGTCGCGCCGGTCGCGACGAGCTGGCAGGTCTGTTGCAGGGTCCACACCTGGTACCTGAGCTCAGTGGGAGAGAGGTATTTGATGATAGACAGTACAGGTGGGGACAGGGTGATGTTCCAAAAAAGGGGTGATGGATGGCTGTGGGGTGAAATCACAATGTGTTGGAAACTTGTTTTCTTCCTCGTGCTGGATGGTAAACTGGAGGACTTACTCTTCAGACCAATGCTGCTGCAGTTGTTTGAGTTATTTGTTTGAGGGAACAAGACAAACAACCAAAACATTTGACTTCAAAAACATCCGTAGCTCAAGCACTTGCCAATCGGCCTTATTGTGTGAAAGTTTTTAATTTTCTACTTGCTTGTCAAGCAATGAGCAGACAATACACCCCCAAAAGAGACCTCGCTGACTGTGTGGTTCTAACTAGGTGCTGCCCACTGCAGCCTTCCAAGGTCAGTCCCACTTTTGGTCAAGTCATGTCGGGTCATTCTTGTTGGTTCAAGAAGCTCGCTTCGTGTGAGTTGTATAGCTGCTCTCTACCGCGGTGCAAGATCCTTCAGCTGGGCCGGCAGGATCTTCTCATGGCACCGTCTCCTAAAAGTCTATTGAGTCCATTTCAAGTGACTTGGTGCTGACCTGGTGGCAAAGTCCGAAGGTGAATTGTTTGACTGATAGTGGAAGGGGGCGGTCTGGTTTTGGCAAACTTAAATGGATTGCGACATATAGAGCATTCTATGTTTGTTTGTCGAATTAAGTGAAGTTCCTTAAATCGATTTAAGCTCTTGCTTTGCCGATATGTCCGACTGGCTGCACCCCTACTGTTTCATGGATGATTTCATCTCCGAGGCCGGAGAGGAACGATATCAATGGCAATTTTTGGAGCTGCGAATGCGGTACGGGATCCGCTGGATCGATGCGGAATGGCGTTATTCTCCGAGCGCGTTTGACCGGCCCCAAAGAGCCGAACACTTGAAGCTCTGGATCGCCGCCATCACCCGGTTCTCCGAGGCGGTGCTGAGGAAGGACCTGGAGAAGGTGGACGACGTGCTGAATTTGATTTCCAAGTTCAATTTCCGTCCTCGGCCCAATCCCAAACCCTTCCTGGAGACATTGAAAGGAGAGCTTCAGCAGCGTTCGGCTGCCCTGGCATCCTTGAGGCAAACGGGAATTCCGGAGGTCGTGGAAGTCCTTTGCCTGTTGCTTTGGGAACTTATTGAACGCAACTCCAGGCTCCATGATGAAGAGACAGCGCAGTTGCAGCGATTGCTGGATTTGATGCAGAAGGCCATCGCAGACTGGGATCGAGTGAAGAATCCAGGGCAGATCGAGTGGTGTAGCTATTTTTGCGGACCAATTTGGTCCTTGCGGCAGAGTGGTGGTGATTACAGTCCTGTGGACTATAATAGGGCCTTGGAGGATTTGAGGTTGCTAAGAGACCTGACCCAATGCATTCTGACCTTAAGGGAGCTAGAGAAGCAACAGCAACAGCGCAAGTCGCAGAGGAAGGAGGAGTTGGAGAGCGTGACGGAGATGGATGACACTTTGAAGAGGATTGAAAACCAATCTTCAGCCGTGATGCAGCTGCCTGAGAAGCTGCAGAGTGAACTCCTGAAAATGAATGATGCGTTCCTTCAGTTGCAGGATGAACAGCTGAAGATGAATGAGGAGTTGCAGGAGGTGAAGTTGGAGAATGACGCCATCAAGCGCATTGCCCAGGAAAGTCAGCAGAGCCAGGAGGTTTTAAGTCTCAAGGTGAATGAAGGAGTGCAGGTTCATGAGAATCTCAAGTCATTGGAGTCCCAATTGCTGAACACAAAAGCTGAATTGCAGGACTTCAGATCGAAACATGAAGCATCCAGCATGACATCAGATTTTGAGAAGCTAAAGTTGCAGAAAGAGTTTCTGAACATGAAGAAGGATGTGCATGAGATGAGCATGAAGTTTGATCGCTTGACCATCAGTGACAACTTGAAGATGAAGAAGGTTGGCTTGACCCTGCACCAACCGTTGCATTTGTCCGGTTTGGCAAAGACCGAGTTCAGCGACGCTTGCTCAGATGCCTCTTGGGTCAGAGTCCAACCAGACGAAGAAACCAGCATGCTGCTCAGTGCAAGTTCGGGCTTTTCTGTGGACACAGGTGGTCCCCGGTGCTTTATGCTCGACACCATCTTCAAGACACCCTTTGGCTCCGTCTTGAGCGGTCCACAGTTGTGCCTAAGCTGGAATGCTTTGGAGCCAAGCATGCCCTTTGATTTGAGCTAGTCTTAAAGCAGCTTCACCACTGATGCGAAAATCACACCCCAGCACTTGCAACGACTTGGTAGGCTCAACCCCTGCACCTGTTCAAGCAGACTTACACTCCCCGGAACAATCATGGACCTGCATCGTATGGCAGATCAATTCCGGAATACCAAACAGGTGGTTTTCACTCCACGAAACCATGATTACTTCAGAGTTCGTGTACTCAGACCCAAATATGACTGCAGCCCTTCTTGAAGGCCGAATGAGTCATCAGCTCGCGTGAAGAATGATTTGAAAGACACTCACTGCTTCAGGTCGAAAGACACTCCGATCCTCGCGGCTGACGGCTCCACGATCTTGGCAGTTGCAAATGATCCCGAGCAGCACGTGGTCCGTGGGACCGTGATCCTTGAGACCAAGGAAGCCAAGCTTCAAGTGACACGTGATCACCGCATTGTCTTGGCCTCGGGTCAGCTTGCACCTCTTTGGCAATCATGTGCGGTTTGTGGGAATTGGGCAAATTCTGTGGGGCAGTTATATAGGCGTTAATTAATCACTAGAGATCACTAGAACATACTAGAACATGATTTGTCGATTGTTCTATATTAAATCTACTATAATCTACTAATATATACTATAACTTATATAGTAACTTATCTTAATACATACATATTACTGTGTATATATAAATATGTGTATCAATTTCCATCAATTAGCTTATTCGCTTTATTAACTTCTTGATCCTTTCACCTGACGCATGGATGACATTAAATTGATCTCTCTCCAGGTAGCAGCTGTACAGCTGAAAGTGGGAGATGAGGTTTTGGTCGAGGGCGTTCCGACGAAGCTGACCTCTGTGGACTTCATCCCAGGTGAATTTCAGGTGTTGAAGATCACCTTCCAGCCGGACGAGCCAGTGGCGGTGTTTCATCCGCGTCCGTGCATCCACAGCCATGGTCACAAGCCGAAGAAGATTCACCGCGGTGGAAAGCATTGTCGCCAGGTCAGAGATGGAGCAGATGCTGCCAGTATCCCGGACACACAAGGCTACTTAACGGATTGCAACTTGGCTTTGTGAATGAGTATGTCGATTCTGACGTGTGTTGCAGAAGTCTTTGCTGCATAGTTGTTGTTAGCCGTTGTGAATTGTCGAGTCTTGCAGTCATTTCAGCAATTGTGAGAATGTGCCCCGGCTTTGCAAAGGAGCCGAGATTGCTTGGATCAATGAATTGGAGCGTATAGTTGACAACGCTGAGTGCACTCCTCACCCTTTGGTTTGCTTTGATTATTAGCTTCACTTGGGAATTTCAGGCGAACAAGGGCACTCCCCACGTGGCAGCGGAGGTTTCCATGGATTTGGTTTCTACCAACACGTTTATAGTCTGTTCGCTGACAACACAGTCGACAGTTTGGAGGGTGAGGAGTTCACAATTTGCACAGGCATTGCTAAAGAGCCATGTCCGGTGCAGGGTCGTACGCGTTCAGTTTTGAAGCCGCCGGTGTTCTTAGCATGCACCTTAACATCAGCATGTGTTCGACATCGAGGGCAACCTGAAACATCGATGACTAAGTACTGCAACTACTGGCTGAAATTGGTTGTTGTTAGTGGTAGTGAGTGTTGTTTTCAAGATGTTTCAAGTTTTAGGATGGTGAGAAGTAAAGTGTCGAACACCTTGAACAGATTGGAAGTACTTGTGGATTTATTCTGAGCTGGAGTTCAGGTTGTTGTGCTACCATCGGCGTTAGCTCCATTTGCAAAGGGAACATTATATCCACCTGTGCCTTGAGTCAGCGTGAACAATAGAATTGCTGGAGTTGTTTCACAACATTTCACCACGCGGACAATAGAGGATTGTTTACACCCATTGAGAGGTCAAGATGGTCAAGGGACCTGTAGCTCAGGTGGTGCGAAGTATCCTCGTAAGAGTGTGCCAGAAACAGTTGCACACGATAGGTTTCAGCAGGACTCACATCCCATTGCCTCAAGAAGAGGACTATACCATGAGCTTTGGAGTCGGCTTGACCTTCAGTGAAGTATTTACATTACAACTGATTGAAGTTTGAGTTATGTGTTTTCCTTTGTAGTTTGGGTCCATGTTTTCTCATATTTGTTTGGCGCTCCATGCTCGTTAAGCCTTCGGTGCTGCGTCGCCGTCCGAAAGGATGAAAAGGGGAGGAGCCAAACATGAAAGGTCACTTCTCTCGGGACTTGATTTGGCACTGGTAACAAGAGCAAGCGACGAATGCAGATGGTGTCCTGTAGGTCTGTATATCATTTGTATCAACACGCATATCCCAAGGAGTAGCAAAGATCTTAAAGAGGTTAGTTGTGGGAGAGCAGTTAGGGGTGCCCCTGTCACATCCACTCACTGCATGGTTATCAAGTCCACCCCGACATGGAACTTCACGCCAGGATTCGTGCCACCATTTATCGATCACTTTTGTCAGTGCTTGATCGCCTCCCTAGGTGGCTCCTGAACTACGAATTGGCCAGGACGGACAATCGCGAGCAGTACTTGCAAAACAAGCTCCTCGGACGGCATCCAAACCCTGCAGGTCAAAGACCTCATTTTACTGGACTTGATCATACGAAAACACTACTCAAGGAGGTAAAGGACCTGGTTAGACTTTGCATTCCTTCGGTCCCTTCAAGTGAGGGTCCAGACCGAGATAGATAGTCTAGTGTGTTTGCAAATGCCGTGGAGGGAAGTTGCTGAACCATTCCCGGAGCTGCTCAAGAATGGACAGTGGCAAATTTTAAAGGTCTGTTTGATCTTTTAAAGGTTTGTCCGATCTACTCAAGCTATCATGTGCATAGGGTTGATGGCTTCCCACCCTGCAGAAACAATTATGTTATCATTTGTCACAGGTGTCCACACGCAAGCAAGGCAATGCCAGTAGGTGACACGTGTCATGTGGCATGTGCTGTGTCAACTGCAAGCAGCACAGATCAAATGCTTTGTTTGAGCAAAAGATCTTTCGGAAAGATTACGTACAAGATTTCCTAGATGCTAATTTTATGTACTTATATATGTTTATTTACAGAATTTAGGGTTGGTTTCACTTTGCTTTAATTTCAATTTCATTGGTCTATTTACCCATATTCACCCTTGACAGGTACTGTTTGAACTTCATATACCAGTACCTTTTCAATCACCTTCCCACCAACCAAGGTCTTTTTTATATCAAGCGATGGCAGGGTCACAAAGCACCAGGCACCAAAATGTGTTTTGTTTTTTTGACAAGAAAGATACATCAATATCAAGCAATGGCAAGGCCACAAAGCGCCATGCTCACTGTTGCATAGGTCCTTCTAGAAGAGGTTTCCCGTGTCTTTCCACTGGATCACCCAGAAGCTGAACACGCACGTGCTTGAATGAACAAGTCGACGCTCGCACTCCACGGAGCGAGGCCCACGCTCTTGGAACAAGAGTCGCAAAGGCCCGGGACTCGGGACACGGCAGGGTAGGTGGCAGGGTGGTGGGTTTTGTCTGGTCGGTGGAGGTGGTTTGTTGGATGTGGATGGACAGGCGGTTGGGGAAGCTTGCGCAGAGGTTTATTGTCACTGAATTGGTCAGTTTCTGCATGTGAGTCAAGGATGCGACTTTGTGAGGGTTATCTCCTGTTCACCTATATAGGTTTGTTTTGTCAAATCCAGCGAAACGATCACTCTCAAACCGAACGATGGATCAGGACTTTTTGGAGCATTTTGGAGCTTTCAACATCTTTAGGCAGACCTGCTCAACATTGCTGAATATCATATCTCCCACTTCAGGAACTATTTCTGACCCTGCTCCTACAGGCCGTGCTTTGTTTCCTTGAAACGCTAATTGAACAACAAAGACGTGTGGAATTTTGTTTAAACTAGCAGATATGAACCGCTTGCTTCGCTTAGTGTGTTTGTGGCGGCAGCAGTCTTAGACCATTGGTAGTGTGTTTGTGGCGGCAGCAGTCTTAGACCATTGGTGGCAACACTTTCCAATTCATCATTCCGGAAGCCTTATTGAGTTTTCCGCCACGCATCACCTATCCTTTTATGGGGGAATCGTCGTGTGACCGCCACCCCCTCCGGCCCCCTCGGCCCCCCACACCCAAGCCCAGCGGTGCCCACCGGTGCTTTCTTCGTTGGAGGCACGGGCACCAGTCAGAGACGAGCTCCTTCGCCGCGGAGGGGTCCTCCGAAGAAGCCGCCGAGCCTTGGGCGATCGATCGGTGTCGTTCGCAGATCGGTGGGTGAATCGGTCGGTGCGTACAAGTTGATTAAGGGCAACTCTTGGTTGATTGAGGCCTGATGAATTGAGGTCTGTTGTGGATTGAGGTCTTCTTTGAGGCAACTGTTGATTGTGCACTGTTTGGGCAGAGGAGTGTGAGAACTACACATACCTGCGTCACAGTTTAAGGAGTAGAGGATTCTAAAGGTATTATGTAAAACGATGTGTTTCCTTCCCAATTTCCAAACTGCAAAACCGTTGGACATAAGATCGAAATGATCTTGGCCATGTTTGACAGGGTATTTTCGCTCTGTGTTTTCTATCAAACACCTGAACCCTCCAAACCATGAGTTGTCTAAACAGATCCCTGGTAAAGTCTCTCCTTGTTCTTGGCGGATCGCAGTGCGTTCGATGTTCTTTCTGTGGGGGTGCCATGTGAACCGCCCAAGCACCCAACTTGGGGAACCGCTCCCAGGATAGCAGTTCCTCTGAGGCACCGGAACGTTCCGTTCGCGCCGGTTTCCGGCGCGTGGGGGTCCGGTCAGCATGTCCGAGCCACAAGACAAGTGAAAGCATCATATTATCCCATGCAACACTCCATGTCTGTTTGTCAGATATATGACGCCCCCTTGACCCCTCAAACCACCCCAATGTAGGTAAATATACCTAGTCCCATTGGTCGTGTTTGGGTGTTGGTTCAGGTTGTGGTGAGGCCACTGGCTGGACCTGGGATTTGATATGCATGTCATTTCTCTAAGGAGCCAGTCGTGCCTTCTCAGGTTTGGTACGACTGGACCCGACCATGGCACCGGTCAATAACAGTGTCTCCAATCAACTTCTGAGAAGGCACGACCAGACTTCTAGGGATCCCTAGGGTTTGTTCACGTTCATATACGCACATGAGATGAGATCACACTGAGATTTGTTGGTTAGTTGAATTGCAAACGCGCAAGCCACACACCTCCAGTCGATTAGGGAGGGGGGAAAGCACTAGGCTGGCTACAAAATGATACCGGTCTACTATTGGACTGAAAGGAACTGGTACCCTGACCCATCCTGAACACGTTTATTGTTGGCAGGGTAGAAAAAGAAGTTGGGTATATAGAAGTCTATGGCTGTGCATCGGACCTATATCAGACCATAGCCCCACTGCACTAATCGATCTTTCTTCTAGTTCAACTGAGAGGTCCCCTGCTCCACACTTTTTTTCGCACCAATCCAAAAAACGTTCGATCAGAAACGAACCATCCACTCAGCAGCTTTGAGGCTTTGACCAGTTTGGAACCGTTTACCGTTTTGGAACCGAAGCTCTCCGTCCTTCGTCCGCCCGGCCTGCAGACTCCGTCGTCTTCGCTCTAGGCCGCCTCTCAGAGCCGTTTGCTGCCGCAGGGGCGCGAAGGCGACCGTCGGCCGCCGGCGGAAGCGTCGAAGGTCTGAAACGTTTGGAGGTCTACGGTGTGGGCCAAGCACAAGCGCAAGCAGCTGGTTTGGGGAGAACATGGAAAAAGCAACGGTGATTTTGGGGGTCATCCAAGCAGTGGTTTGGGGAGAAACAACTGTATGTGTTTGTTTTTTTAATGAGGATTCTACTTGGTTTTGAGGAAATCCAAGTGGTTTGAGCGCCAGTGAGGCTTTACAATGAATTTGACCATCGTGTTTCGGTGGCTTGTGGTTCTTGACAAACGAGCACCTGACCGAACACCTGAAGAAGAGTTAAACAAATAACACGACTGAAATCTAAAGAGCTTCGTTTGTGTCCATGTCCGTGTATAGTCAGTGTAGTAGAGTTGGAGCAAACCGGTGCTTGTGGATAGTGTTCACTTTGCTTACGAGGTTTCTTGAAAATTTGAACTGGGTGGACAGTTGTGTCTATGTGTTGTCCTTCTGGCCATTGGTCAACTGCTATGGACTTGCAAAAGACCACCTACCTCCAAACCTATCTGTGGAAAATCACAGCTGAATGAAATCCTGAAGATCTGGAAGTCAATGGCATGTTCCATTCTGTTCAAAACAGACCAAATATCAAACTAAACAAAGAAACACACACACAGAAAAAAAACACATGTATATATTT